AGTTGTTTAACCCAACTGGTGCGATGAGCTGCTTCTCACATGACCAGGTGGAAAGACTCATCTGGTGGTCGTGGAAAAGACGTTAGTGTGTGTGAGGAGGGTCAGATCATTGACATCAAGCAGAGGAAACATCTAAGGAGATGCAGAACTGTCCAACACAACCAGATGGACCCTGTTCCAGAGTGACGGTGCATCAGGGTAAGAAGCGAGGCACGAATATGAAGTAAAGTAATGTGTTACTGTCTCTTTTTCTTTAAAGAGATAAATCAGCTAAAATAAAGGATCTCTTTGAAGTTTTAAATTACTTATTAAACTGCCCCAAGAATGGAAGTGGTCGTTTTAACCAAAAACATAAACAAGTAAAACCTTCAGTTTACACCAGATAAGGGGTTTTAAAAGAATAGAATAGAATAGAATAGAATAGAATAGAATAGAATAGAATAGGCTTTATTGATCCCACCGTAGGGAAATTCACTTGTTCCAGCAGCACAAACCTGAGAGTATAATTTGAAGAAAAGAAAAGAAATTTGGGGCAAACGTTTACAAATGCATCACTTAAACTCGCCCAGACAACAACAAAATAAGAATTTTGTGGTTCATCAGCTTCAGAGTTCAAGTCCTTGTCTGTGGACCAGTGGAGGTAACAGAAGGACCTGAAACCTCTGGAGTAACTGAATGATCTTAAAGTGTCTGCACACCTCTGCAGTTCAGGGACCAAACTGCTCAAACTCACTGCTGGACCATCGTGCTGGACACACAGCGAGGTCAGAGGTCAAAGATCAACTGAAGCATCTGGAGCAGCGAGATGGGGGAGCAGGATAGATGGGTGGATGGATGGATGAATGAATGGGTGGATAGATGAATGAGTGATGGTTGACGGATGGATGAATAATGGATGGATGGATAGATGACAGCTGAATGATGGACGGAGGGATGGATGGATGGATGAATGTATGGATGGATGGATGGATGGATGATAGATGAATGATGGTTGACAGATGGATGAATGATGGATGGATGGATGGATGGATGGATGGATGGATGGATAATAGATTGATGGATGGATGATGGATGGATGGATGGATGGATGAATAATAGATTGATGGATGGATGATGGATGGATGATGGTTGACAGATGGATGAATGATGGATGGATGTATGGATGGATAATAGATTGATGGATGGATGATGGATGGATGGATGGATGGATGGATGGATGATAGAAGAATGATGGTTGACAGATGGATGAATGATGGATGGATGGATGGATGGATGGATGGATGGATGGACGATGGATGGACAGATGAATACATGGATGGATGGATGGATGGATGGATGGATGGATGGATGGATGGATGGATGATGGATGGATGGATGGATGGATGGATGGATGGATAATAGATTGATGGATGGATGGATAATAGATTGATGGATGGATGGATGGACGCATCCAACTGTGCTGAAAACAGAGATTATTTCCCACCTGTTGGTCAAATCAACTCTTAATCTGGAGAATATTCTAGATTTAAGGATGAATTCTGTCTCAGAAGCTTTGACCCATATCACTTAACCATATCACACACACACACACACACACACACACACACACACACACACACACACACACACACACCAGCATACAGTTACATAAAGACAAACAGACGGGGTTATTGGAGCGAGCTCATGCACTAATTGATGCGACACGAATCTTCTGTCATTGACTGTAACTGTCTGGCCTTTGCACAATGGGACCATTTGGCAACTTTTTCAGAGACCTTCACGCGCCCCAAGTCTGCAGGAACAGCCGCGTCCGTGCACGTGCACGGCTAACCTTGGCCCTGGTCCAAGCAGAGAGGGATGGGACGCAAATCCAGGCGCAACCGAGTGGATCTGCGCAGCCTGCTCCTCTCTGACTGACATTCCAGATAATGCTGCTGCTGTCCTGCACTGTCCCAACTGTCCTCCCGCGAACACGCGCGCGCGCTGAGGTTGTGACAAGGACAGATGTGCCGCCGTTTGTCCCTATTGTTGCTTGCAACGGGGAAGACCAGAAGGAGGGATGGAATAGGGGGGGGGGGGGGGGGGTCTGTTAGAATTAGTATGACCCCCCTCCCACACACAAACACACACGCGCACGCGCCTGCGCGCGGTTACAGGCTGGTTCTTGCTGGACGCAACCTATGACTTGAGTTTTAATTAATTGAAACAAAGTTGTAACGATTTCATTAAAAAGGGTTGAATGAAAAGATTTAAATCTCCTCTCGTCACTCACCCAGAGCTTTCAAAAGTTCATCAAAGTTTTGGGAGCTTTTCATGTGCCAGGTGCCGGAAAAATCTGGAATTTTGCGCTCCATCTTCAGTTGAAGGTGAGCTGACAGGTCCAGGTGAAGGTTTGAACTGGCGCTGCAGGTGCGCGGCAGAATTACTGCAGGTTTCCAAACTAATTGCGGGCTTCCTTCTGCGCTGCGGATCAGTGACCGACCGTCTGAGCTGTTATCACATGGACGCGGTAAGCAGCGCTCCGCAAGCCTGAAATGAATGGCACGGAAAGCAGAATGACTTGCCAGTGGATGCGCCACGCCCCCTCCGACAGCTCGGTCACGCCTCAGAGACCAACAGCAAGGAGGCGCAGGTCTACAGAGTTTCAGTCTCCCCCCACACGCGCGCGCGCACACATACACACACCCCACCCCCGCTTCCGTGGGCATGCATATCAAAGCTTCGTGTAGCCAGAATTTGGAGACGCCCTCCATCCACGCGCAACGCTGCAGACAAACTGGACAGACACGCGCTTCCGCCACAGCCTCTTTTTTCAACATCATATAGCTATATTATAATTCACGCGTTAAACAGCTGGTGATCACGTGGTCAAATAAAAAAAGAACTCAAAACAGGGAGGATGTTCCCAGGCCTCTGTTGACAGAACATGTCGTCTTGGCAGAGTGGTGGAACCAGTGTGTGTGTGTGTGTGTGTGTGTGTGTGTGTGTGTGTGTGTGTGTGTGTGTGTGTGTGTCAGAGAGAGAGAGAGAGAGAGAGAGAGAGAGAGAGAGAGAGAGAGAGAGAGAGAGAGAGAGATGAGGCTGCTGGGAAGCCAAGTTCGCCCCCAGTCGCCTGCGCGCCGCGCCGCCGTGTCATAAAAATAAAAGCAGTGGTAATGGGATCCAGCTTCTGCCTTTGGGAGATCCATAATAAAACACTCACGATGGAAGCGCAGTCAGAGCAGGGAGAGGCTGAGATTAACATAAAAGGTGAGATCTGCGCAGGTCGGCGGCGTCTCGCTTGGAGCTCCCTTGCCCCCTGCTGCTCGGGCGGAAGAGAGGGGAGAGGGGGGCAGGGGGTTAGACTTGGCAGGGTCAAGAGGCAGACAGAGTTGGAGGAAGATTTATAAAGAACCCACGCACGTGCACGCGCTCGCTGATGATAGATAGTGTTGGACAAAGCCGACGTTAACTATTGACTCTTGATGGATGATCTCATCCGTCGCACTGCGAGGAGCATTAGCGCGTGGATTTGAGTGTTGGGGGGATTGCGCGCGGCGGTGGGGGGGGGGGGGGGGTGTCATTTCCTCGATTTATGTAGACTAACGCATAAACCCGCCAGCACACAGTTTCAGTAACAAAGACTGGCTGACAATGGTGAACAAGTCTCGGAGAGATATTTGGTAACGGGATCTGCGCATTTACGCACAGATCCGCGTCCAAACGCAGCGAACTGCATCTGGCCCAGCGGCTCTGTTAGATGCGAACAAAGCATTCTCACATTGTTACACGCACGCGCGTGCACGCGCGCACACACACTGGCCACACACCATGTCTCAATCACAGCATGTTCTCACAAGACAGACTTATCACAACTTCTAACCAGTCTGCTGTGGTGTCTGTTACTTCATCGCTGCTCTCTTCTTGTTCCTGACTTTAAGATTTCGATCCAGCTCTTTGCCAAAATCTGAAAAGCAGGAGAGTGATACGGTTTCCTGTACGCCCTAAACTGAAAAACCGTAGGAGTCAACAACCAATCAACCCATCCTTTAGTGGATCTCTACTGCCTCTATAAACCCTCCAAACAGGAAAATGTGTTTATCTGCTTTCAGTTAGTGTTTGGTTTTTAGGGATTTTGTGCCTAAAACAAACCATTTCAGAAAGTTCCTGTTTGTAATGTCACATACAAAACCACCTCTCTCATTCAAGAGGGAGCAGATGCTGGAGGAGTAGCAGCTCTAAAAGCCCCTCCTGCATTTCAGAGTTTCTCAGCTTATAGCAGCAAATGTGGGCATGACCAGCTCCAGCTTGTTTTCTAAAAGTGACAGAGCCCTGAAACAGCTCATTCTGGAAGGCACTGAAACTGCCTATCATGAAACTACTGATTTTGATTTATGTGGGATGGATTTAGTGCAAATAACTTCGTGAACATGTTGAGTATCAACCATAGAAGAAAATAAGTCATAATATGTCCCTTTAGCTGGATTGAAAACAGCCTTTCTGGGAACTCGCTTTACCTCTTAAAGGTGATGGATGGATGGTAATGGAGGTTTTCAAAATCTATTACTAAAGTCTGAATTTGCCCCTTTCAATATGGCTGCCAGTGCAAATCACAACATCCATCTTTGGATTCACTTTCTTCCGATCATCATTTAGGCCAATGAGTATGACTCGCCTTCGCTCATCATCTAGCAAAGTATTCTCACACCCTAAGCATCGAAAAATGATGCAGTGTGACCAAGCGTTTGTTACCGATGTGTAGCCCTTGCGCGTCGGGAGGCGATGCGCTGTGCCAGAGCGTAGGTATCCAACGCCAGCGGTAAAACGGACATTTGACCAAATTGTGACCTGTACCCTCTTGCTGTTTAAAGGGACTTTACGGAGTTTTGAATGTTTATGCTCGCGATTGCCCCCTCAGGCCAAAAGTGTAACGGCAGCTTCAATAGTAGGCTCGTGCACGAGGCGCGCATGCTGTACGTGCACACTCCTTAACGAAAATAACAGCTGAGACAGTCCCTTGTGTGTGTGTGTGTGTGTGTGTGTGTGTGTGTGTGTGTGTGTGTGTGTGTGTGTGTGTGTGTGTGTGTGTGTGTGTGTGTGGCCCAGAGGACAGAGGACAGGAGAACACGCAGCTAATTAATTAAATAATTTGGTTCTGTACCTTTCTCTTCAGCACAGCCGACAAAGGTTTATGATGGGTCAGTCCTCCTGCATGCTCAGATCATTCCCTTCCCTTGCTTGAAAAATTGTTCCAAAATGAAAGTTGAGTCCACATCTTTTTTATCTGTGAATTCAATGCCGTTCAGCGAGTCTCAAATAAAAATTTGGGCATCTTACTGTAAAAAAAATATACCATTAATGTAAAAAAGAAACTAAATGAACTATGTTCACATCCAGAATCAAACCCAGGTCTTCTGCACAAGAGTCCAACGTCTTACTAGGTGAGCTAAAGCGCCAGTGATGTCATTTGTATCTGTAACATTTATATCCTTGATGACAGCTGAAACAACGTTCAAAGAACGGTTCGGAGTGAAAATAGCTATTTTGTTGCTAATTTGCAGGAAATATCTAGAAGAAAGTTCTACAGAAAGTAGCTAAGGGTCCTCAGAAATGTAGCTAGCTTTGTCACTAGGCGTTAGGAACAGCGACAAAGTGGCACTGCCTCTCTCTCTGCTGCTAAAGCTACGGATAGCAAATGCTACGGGCGATGCCTGAGCGTGAACGCGCATGAAGCAGCCTGCTCGACCCGAGCATCTCTCTTTTTCTGTGATTTTACAGAAAAACAGGCAATCACAGTAAAAAAGCCAGGGCTCATTCTACAGGACCAGGGCATTGCAGGAGAATGTATGAAGAAGACATTTATTATTTCTATACATGTTTTGGCTGTCAAACTTTCATAATGCCCCTTCAACCTTCCCCTCACCCCCATCCTAACCTTAACCAGCTAGCGCATGCAAAGCTTTGTTTTGCGTTCCGTCGTTACTCTCAAACACGCTTCTTGGAAAATTTACACTGACACACTGGGTTAAGGTTAGGATAGGGGTGAGGGGAAGGTTAAATTGCTAGAGGTTAGAGGTGAAATGTCGGTGAAATCTTCGTCTAGCGACGCTCTAGCACAGCGTCGCCTCCCGACACGCAGGGGCTCCCTACACGTCGGAAACAAATGCTCGGTCACACCACGTCATTTTTCGATGCTTAGGGTGTTAGAATGTGTTGCATCTAGAGTATTCTGGCGCTGATCCGTAGCGAGCAACAGTTGCTCAGAGCAGTCTTGTTTGTTTGGATGCACGGGTTGCAGTTCCCAAAGTTGACCACAGGGTGTCATTCTTCATGCAACTTTAGGGACGTCAGTTTTACAGTTAATGAGCTAAACTGTTTTCTTAGTAGGTGAGAGATTGTGTAAGCGCGATTTTAACTGCTTTATGTTTGCACCTCTGACCAAAGCGTTTCTTTTCTGCACAACAAAGCCTCCGGGAGACATTTATTACTGCTAGTAATGCCCATTGTGCTTTAATTATGGATTTATGGTAAAAAACATCCAATCTGCAAAAGGAATAAAAATGATGGAGTTGAGATTGCATGAGTCGTATTTCACGATGATGTCATTCTGTTGCTGAGGTGGTCTGCTGAATAAAGCCTCGTCTGAAGATAAGCCATTTATCATGTCTCCAGTTTAAAGGATCATTGGGGAAATTCATCTTCTCTGCAGGCTATTAGCATATAACCATGACTTGACAAAAATGCATCAAAGACCCCTGAATGAAAGTGACAGCCTCTCCCATCTTGTGTGTGTGCAGCTCAAAGAGGGGATTGATGAAGAGCTCTGAAATGTGTGTGATGCTGTGTGTCAGCAGGCCGTGACAAAGCATGGCTCAGCATTCAGGTGCACTCGACCGTGCTGTTCTCCCCTCAACCCCCTTTTATCCCCTCCTTTCTGCCTCACTCACAACTTTCTCTCCCATTCTCCTCCTTTTCTTCCTCCTTCTCCTCCTGCTGTCCTGCTTTTGTTCTTTTGTGCTGCTCGGACGCATTCCTCGAGCCCAATGGAGAGGTGGAGACGGGGAGAATGTGGCAAAAGAGAAGAAGAGTGAAGTTAGGGTGTGCAAGTGATTTTTTTTACCCCTTTGTTTGGAGAAAAAGGATAAAGGATGAGTCAGCAGTAAGCGTGGAGATCAAACACTGACACGGAGAGCCAGGTGGAAAAGTTGAGACAGAGGCAGCGAAAGACAAGAGACTCCTGTGTTTTCAGGAGCTGAAAGACGTATTCGTCTGGAGCCAACACTGCTTGATTTGATCTTTATTTCCTCCACTTCTTTTGTTTCTGGCTGTGTTCTTTCTCACACTGAGATTACCTGCTGTAACTGATAGCATCACTTTCCATCCCAGAAACTGACAGGCCGGCTGAACCACATGGGAGCGATACGGCGTCCATTGTTAAAGCGGAGGTGTTTGGCTGCTGAGTTCAAGGCAGAAACACACACGGTGAAATGAAGACACACCGGCCTAACGTCACGATTGTTAGCAGACGTTCAGCTTACTGACAATACTTCATTCAAACGACTGGAAATGGAAAATCTGAACTGAAAAATAGGAGAGTAACGAAAATAAACGTCTCTGTGGTTCAAAAACAAGTTTCATGGCCAACAGCATCGTAACAGGGCTCTGCTGAAGAAGGAACCTCTGAAGGTGATTGGTGTGGGCTAATGCTCTAAACGAGTCCATCTCAGGCGACGGTGGCACAGGAGTTAAGTGCTCGCCCCGTAATCGGAAGGTTGCAGGTTCGAGCCCCGTTCAGTCTGTCGCTGTCGTTGTGTCCTTGGGCAAGACACTTAACCCACGTTGCCTGCTGGTGGTGGTC